CGCTTGTTGCATACACATTCATAAATAAACATATGATTGCTCACGGGTGTGCTTGCCTCTCTGGGGCCGTCGGAAACTCCGAGACCGCCTGGGAGGCTCCCAAATCGCCCCAAACCATCCGAAAGGGCTTCCAGGCAGTCCAGGAGAGCCCCAAGACGGCACAACAGGATTCCAATATGGCCTAAGAGAGCCCCCCCATGACGGCCCAAGATGGCCCCAAGACACCCTTGGAAGCATTCCACATCGTGACCCGGTCGTTCAGGGAGACCGCGGTTGAAGGCAAGGTAGCCCGAGGAAGCCCCCAGAGGTCCCCAGAAGACGCCCAAGAAGCCTCCAGAAGGCCTGAAAAAAGCCTGAACAAATTCCGTGAGGCCCCCAGAGGCTCTCCAAGTAGGAGCCTCCGCAAAAAGAGCTGAGGAGGATGGGACATCGCAGGATAGGGCGAGAATGAAGAATAATAACATGGAGGAAAGACAACGAATCACATCATTATGACGGCGATGCCAAAAAAGGCAACAAGGAGTTATCGCTAAATTGTCAATTTGACCTTCCTGCCATTCCGCCTGTACACCAAACTTTAAGGACCAAGCTGCATGGCGCGAAGCGGCACTGCAGTCTTGAAAAGATGTGTGTAAGAATACACGTGTGTATGTGGCCTGGCTCTTTATTGAAACGAAGATATCAACTAATTAGGATCGCGCGCTGAGTTCGGCAGTGTTTTTCTGTCGAGGCTCTGAATGCTGAGACTGCTGCTGGTGCGTTCGACGCCGTAAGCAAGGGTGATGCTATTGATTCATGCCATTGCGAGATTGCTTTATCCTTGTGCGTTGACGCCCAAATCAGTTCAAATTATATATATATGTATTGCTGATGATGCTCGTGCTGCCGTTGTGGAGTGCATGGGCCGCACGTGATATCGCCTCGACCCCAAACCTTACTTATTGGTCAATCGCCAGCCGCAGAGGTAAGATCGTCAACGTGTCGCATGCTGCAGTCATCGGGTGGAGGTAGCGCATGCATAGTGTCCAGACCAGGGAGCTCAAACATGTGCACGGTTACGCTAGACTCACTGGCTCAATACGTGTGCGTAACAACGGCTCATGTACTCTGCCGCCCAATCCTGAACACCGCCGCCTGGCGCTGACTGGCAAGACAAGGTGTGCCATCACGAAGCAGAGAAAGGCAGAGCATACACAGCGCAGGGCAAAACATAGCAGCACGCCAGCGAATAATGGCATCCTGATTGCGCAATGGCGAGATAAGGTCACCCCCAGATGGGGCAATGTACTTCGCATCATGCGAATCTTCGTCAAATGAGGCAAGACAATCGAGGCCGAGCAGAGTACGGTTCTGTTGACCAGACACTGGTCGATGTACCCACCCAGGTGGGGATGCACGCATTTCTCTTCGGGTTTCGCCGGGCCTGTCCCCGCAAAGAGCGGGCGAAGAAAAAACTGTACAAACACGAACTGATGGCGCTCCGCGCGGATTTCTTGGACCTGGCGCGTGGAGCGCGCCAGGGGCGGCGCCGGAGGCGCCGCCGTGGGGGCCCAGCGCGGATCCAAGAAAACCGCGCGGAGCGCCAGAAGGTTTATGTTTACGGCGCTTCTTCTTCTTCTTCTTCTGAGAGAGAGAGAGAGAGAGAGAGAGAGAGAGAGAGAGAGAGAAAAAAAAAAAAGAGAGAGAGAGAGGGAGAGAGACTGTAACTTAATGGGGCTCGTGGGGTCGGTGAGTCGATGCGGAACCGACAACGCCCTGCAGACAGGCGCAGCGCAGGAGCGCACGGGCGTCCTGCACGAAGCCGGCGAGCAGGGACGCCGTGCGCCGAGCCACGTGCGCCCGGCCGTCGTGCTGGCGGCCCTGGGAGCCCAGGAGCGGTGCCGACTCCTGCCCGGGGGCGTCGAGAGGCGGCGCCGAGACGCCGAGCTGCGACAGCGCCGCGTGTGCACCCTGGGCATCGAGCTCCGTGAGCGCTCATGTGTCTGGCATCTTGATATCAAGGTGTGATCGTGTCTTTGCTGTGGTTGCGCCGCTGTTGTTCTGTTGCCTCGAGGCGGTCGGTTCGAGCGAGCGGCCCCCCGTCCCACACGCCCAGGCAAGTGGAGGTCATGCGGTGGCGTATTCCGACGCCCGGCACGCCGCGGGAAGAGCGCGCTGTGGAAGGTGTCTCGGGCGCCGCGGCCTTCTCAGAGCGTGCCGGAACGGATTGATTCTTGCACCAGCCCCATCCGAAGGGTCACATGCCAAGGCTGCGTGCGCACACTCGCACACATCCCTGCCAGGAAACGACGCAGGCACACGTGTTCTATACCGCATCTTGTCTGCACAGCCGCAAGGACACAACACCACTCTTCATCATCATGACGAAGCTGGGCTCCAGCCTGCCGCTACAACTGCACCCTGGACGATCGCAACCGCACGTTCCATCACAATCGCCGGCGTGAGCTGCGAACGCAATTAAATCTTGAAATGGGAACGATCGGGTGGGACTGGTTCAGGGGGGAAACATCGAGCTTGCATCGGAAATACATCACCGATAGATCGGCCATATGCCCCCGATTGCAAATCCGCACGCTCCTCGGCGGGGTGGGCTATCGGACCCCTTTCGGCGATGAATGGGCGATTGGGGATCGATACGTTCCCCCTGAGCCGATGACGATGACGATGATGATGACGATCGTCATCGTCATCGTCGTCGTCGTCGTCATCGTCACCGTCATCGTCGTATCACCCCCTCCGCCTCCCTGTACCTGTGGGGTCCGTGCCAAGGACCAGCGACGGCAGGCAGGATCCGGGGGCTGCCGCTCGCCGTGCTGACCGAGCCGCCCCCGCTTTGCCAGCCGTGGTTTCGGTGACCTCAGGACGTTGGGCCGCCAGGGTTGTGGATGCCACGACAATGGACACCCTAACAGTCCTAGCACTGGATTTCCCATGTGCTTCACGTCGGAGAAATGTTCTAAACATGTGCCAAACATGTGTTTTACAGGTTGGAAAGATGTTTGAAACATTTTTTAGACATCTGGAAATTATTTGGCAGCATGCCTCCTCTCCATTGATCGACTTCCACAACGCCAGGGAGGGAGGGGGGGGAGGGAAAAAGGGAGGGAGGGGGTGGAGGGGGGGGAGGGAGAGGGGGGGGAGGGCAAGCTAGGTGCGCTCGCGTCATATCTGACGTCCTACCCCTCCCTCCCATCCCTTACCATGGCGCTGATTTTCTCTATCCGCGGACGCGTGTCGTAGCGGACCTGTGGCTCCGCGCGCGCGTGCGTAGTGGGTGGTGGTGCGCGTGCGTGCGTGCGTGCGTGTGTGCGTGGTGTGTGGTGGTGGTGGTGGTGGTGGTGGTGGTGGGTGGTGGTGGTGTGTGCTAGCTGGTGCTGGTGGTGGTGGGTGTGGTGGTGGTGGTGGTGCGTGGTGCTGGTGGGTGGGTGGGTGTGTGGTGGTGGTGGTGGTGGTGGTGGTGGTGGTGGTGGTGGTGGTGGTGGTGGTGGTGGTGGTGGTGGTGGTGGTGCGGCGCGGTGGTGGCGGGCGGATGGGCGCGCGAGAAAGAGGCCCGCGCTGGGGCGAGAACGCCATCCTCAACGACGGAGGCCAAACACCGATCCGAAAATGAGGCCCACGCTGGAGCGGGAGCACGATTCGGAACGATTCGGGAGCAGAAATGAGGCCGGCGCCTCAGCGAGAGCAGCATTTTAGAAAAAAACGCAAGCGAAAACCCAACTCCGGGGAATCCTGTGTGTAAAAAAACAGTACGCGGGGGGGGGCCGAATATCTTCCGGACGCCATCAGGGGAAGTGGGAGAGTATTTTCATATTGTGTAATTGTAGAGGGGGAACGTGAGCCCTCCGGTGGCCGCTCGGCCTTCTGAAAGCGACCCGGCGGCGCTTCCTCCCTGCCTGCCGCGCCTCCGCGCCCCCACACCGCTCTATCCCTCCCTGCAAGGGCAGTCGCCCTCTCGCAGTGTGGCTGGCTCGTTTGAGTGCGCGCGCAGAGCTGCTTTGGAACTCGGGGGAACGTCTCGCGCGAGCCTTTCGCACCTGCTGTCCTGCCGTGTGTCTTCTCTCGGCTCAATTTGACGCGCGCCCAGAAATGACCCCTCTCGATTCCATCCGTCAAGAAATCGCAACTAGAACGGCTCCCTCTCTCTCTGTCTGGACTTGCCTAGCTTACGCATATTCTAAACCTTTCGCAATCAACGGCGACAGCTTCTCAAGAAAATCATCCTGTACACGCCGCCCTCCGCCGAATTTCTGAGGGCAAATTCTCAACAGATCTCCCCACCAAGGTCTGTGTGGATACCTCCCGCTGGCTGGCACCCGCTGACCACAGCTTTTTCCGACGTGTCTCCCCAAAAGGATCCTGGGGTTGGACGCACTGGAAGCACCTCTGGAGCGCCAAGTTCAAGGGAAGCTCGGTCCAGCCAGTGCGCGAAGGGCGCGCGACCAGTCTCAGGAACGCTCGCTCGGCAGCCTTCGCGCCAAAACATGCTCGCCATCTCCAAAACAGCCAGGCAGCCCCCGAACCCCCTGCGAAGACCCGGGAGAACAACATCGGGACCTTGAGCGCCCGCGAGCTCACCGTATTTCTGGAAACCGAGCGGCCCGTAGACGAACGAAATGCAAAATGTTATGATGCCACACCACCGCGAATGCTGCACGGGATCCTGACACAACGTGCCAGTCGATTCGGCCACGGAAGGGGCAACCCCAAACGATTCGAACGGACAGGTAATGAGCACGGACACTTCGTGGAACAGAACGTGATGAACCACAGCAAAATACCAGGGTATATCCTTCCCAACAAACGGCACTGAACCAAATGAGTTCACCCTATTTCAGGAGGCCCGCATTCTAGAAGTGACGAATCATAAATACTGCCAGCTGGCTACCAGATCAGGTTCCTCCTCGAAAGGCCCTGCAACATACTGAAGTAAATAAGGAACATGTCCTGAAATGACCACCGAGACTTTGCGGAATTATCAAGAAGGCGCTTGGATGACGACCACCGCGACACCCTGCACGGTGATCTGGAAACTGCCGCTAGGAGAAAACATCTACATCAGCCTGACGAGGGACCCAACCATATGCAGCTGCGAGTACCGCGAGGGAGATGAGACGAAGGAGGGGGGGCGCGCAGAGTCCGAGTAGCGCACGCGGTGTAGCCTAAGCGGCTACGAGTACCGCGCGAGGGAGATGAGACGAAGGAGGGGGTGGGGGCCAGCAAAAGGACTGCGGCGTGTATGAGGGGGAGAAAACCTGAAGCGAGCGAGCGAGGTGCCTTCTTGGTGTGGTCCGAGCCCCGTGCGCGGCCGTTTTGTCTCAATGTTCTCCCCACCTCTCTCCTCCCTGTTTCCGTTGCGCGTTGCATTCCTACCTGCCTGGCCCGCCGAAATGAGGGTGGAACTTCATGCGAACCCTGCCACTGAGGCCTTCGGTGGAGCTAACTATGGGGCCACGAACCGTGTGAGAAAGGCACAGCTGCATGCGAACCTTGCCGCTGGGGCCTTCGGTGGAGCTCCCTATGGGGCCACGAACCGTGTGAAGGGTGCGCCGAAATTCAAGTGGAAGTGCATGCAAACCCTGCCACTGGGGCCTTCGGTGGAGCTCCTTATGGGGCCACGAACCGTGTGAGGGCGTGCAAGAATGGGCGGGGAACGATGACAATTATAGTGCTGATGACAGCCGTAATGGTGATGACGATGGTGATTACGATGACGGTGACGAGTTTGATGATGATGAGGATGATGCTGATGTTGTTGATGATGGTGATGATGGTGATGATGCTGATGATGGTGATGCTGCTGATGATGATGAAGCGATGATGCAGATTATGAGTATGAAAATGAAGCTGAAGATGAAGATGAATTTGCATATGAATATGAAGATGAGGATGAATATGATGATACTGCTGCTGATGATGCTGCTGCTGATGCTGCTGCTGCTGCTGATGATGCTGCTGCTGATGCTGATGATGATGATGATGGTGATGGTGATGGTGATGGTGATGATGATGATGATGATGATGATGATGATGATGATGATGATGCTGATGATGATGATGATGATGATGATGATGATGATGATGATGATGATGGGCGGAGGGAGGAGGAGGAAGGAGAGGAGAGATTGACGCGGGGCGGCGCTGTCTCTTCAAAACAAGGACCAACACTGGATGGTTGGGATGAACATGGGAACTGCTGTAGCTGAGCACGCACAGTTCCAAGGCTGATCGACGCTTTGGGGTACAGATGGCAGCCCACCTGAAGGATGAGAGAGCGAGCCCAGATTTGAGTGAAGAACAACGCCACTCCACCCCTGCGGCATGCGACTAGGAGGAACGCCCCTCGCACTCCGACCGCCAGGGAAGGCAGAGTGCACCCAACCTGCAGAATGAAAACCACACCCAAACTTTACTGAGGCGAACATCTACTCAGCCCCTGCGGAGTACGACAAGGATAAGGCGCCTCGCGCGCCGACCGCCAGGCAGGGCAGAATATTCCAAACCAACAAAATCCGAAGCAATGTGAAGCTTGATTGACGTACTGACCACCAGAATGACTCTCCACCACAACTGCTGTTTGCAATTTGCCCGCCTTCGCCACCGCGACCGTCCGCAAACGAGTGCCTGAAGGCGCGGTGCCCCTCAAGCGCCACGTGGAAGCGACGGGTGCAACAATGAGGCCCGACGGAAGCCAGAATGCCGCGGATGAACCTCGAGCCGCATGTGCTCGAGATGAAGAGGGAAGAGGAGGAGGAGGAGGAGGACGAGGAGGAGGAGGAAAAGGAGGAGGGTGAGGAGGAGGAGGAGGAGGACGACGAGGAGGAGGAGGAGCAGGAGGAGCAGGAGGAGGAGGAAGAAGAAGGAGGAGGAGGAGGAGGACGAGGATGAGGAGGCAAGGGGGGGAGTGAGGGAGGAGAACTCCCTAAACTATGCATACTCCCTGCGACTGCATTGGGACCATGGCCCGTCGGAGCCCCCTGGTCCTCCGCCGCCTCCACGCTCTCTGGGTCACCAGCGCTGTGGCCGGCCGCAGGCTGCTGGCCATGACCTGGCTGGCCCGCGGATCTGGCCTCTTTGCCGCTCAAAGCCCGCTGGTCAGGCGCTGCTACTGAGGGGGTCTCCATAAGATCATTTGTTCTGTAGCAACTCATCGGAACCTTCCATACCATCTTGTTGGCTCTTGCGAATCGTCACTAATCTATACGCTAAGTCGACGCCAATCGACGCGAGTCGACCCTACATCGGCGTTTTCTCATCGATTACCAGACGCCAGCGCACGCGAATGCAATCGAACAACAGAGCTGCGATGACACACAAGGCTCCCGTGATTCGCTGCCGAACAATGTAAAGCTATTGAGCTAGAATCATGGGCCACTAAGCTGATGTGGTCAGATTCAGCCACGAATCAAGCTGGAATAACAAAATCAAACTCGACTAAGCGGGACTACGCCAGATTAGGCCGGCTTTCGTCCACTGATAAGCCAGCGCCGATTCTGTTTTCGACCTCCCAGGAGTTGCACCCCAACGCCACCAGCGGTGGAGGTCCCTCCGCCTTCGGCCCCTTGGGGCCTCTGGAGGCTCCAGCTCCGAGAAGGTCGAGATCCCCAAGCCCAGACATCCGCCGAGGTGATTGTTCAATCCGCGGCACCCAGCCCAGCCAGTGGTGCCGACCGTTTCCCCGGGAGTGTTTTCTTTCGTTTCAGATCTGTTTTTGATGGCACGTGGCCCGAAAAAAAAACGGTACAAAAACACACACACACACACATCGCCAGTGATGTGGGAACGTCCACGTCGCGCAAGAGATGCGCCGTCGGAGGAGAGGGTCTGGACACGACACCCATTCGCGGGGCACAAGGCTCGGGAGCGGCCAAGAAGGGGGTGTCCAAGAGGGGGGGGGCACATCATGACCGGCGGCATGTGCCCGGCCCAGCGGGGGGACCAGGGACGCAATGAAATAAGAAGAGACGCCATGACATCTGGGGAAATCTCATTGCCCCCGCCATGATAACCTCCGATACTTGTTGCGCTCCGTGGAGGCGGGTTAGCGACGGCGGAACTGTCGGAAAACTCGCAGATAGTGCGTAAGGCCGTAACACCAGCGGCACGGGCGACCGAGGGAGCTCACTGAATGTGTACCGTGACGACGCTACACACAGCACTCGGGCCTTCATGGACTCCCACACAAAACGCTGAACATCTGCAGAATCTAAGCGATTCGTACTGGTTCGGCGAACCGGTGCTCTCAAGACAAGCTTTTTGTAGAGCTTGTCGTCCTGTTTCGAGCTCCTGCAGTGCAGCGCGGGGCCCGCCCTCATCCAGGCCCGACGGGGCAGCTCCGCCAAGGGACCGTCGCAGGAGGTCGAAGCACATCTCTTTCACGCGGGCGCTGCGGCTGTGCTGCACGAGCCAACGCGTGACGAGGGCGAACTTCTTCAAATCACCGCTCCCTCCTTCCGTCCCTCTCCTCCTCGCCCCCTCCATCCGCCTCTCCGTCCAACTTCCCCCTCCCTCCATCCGTCCCTCTCCCCCTCGCTCCCTCGACCCTTCTCCCCTCCTCCCATCCCTCCCTCGAACCTGGAGCGCGGCGGCAGAGCAAGGGAGGGAGGCTTGCGAACCTGGTCAAGAGACTCCGATGCTCGCCCCAGCCTGACGGTAAAACGTCCAGTCCAGATGGGAGGGAAGAGCGCCCAACGTTGAGGCCGGAGCCCGTGCATCGTGCAAGTCGTGGGGCCTCTGGGAAGTCGCGGCCCCCCGATCTCAATCTCTGGGGGGGGGCGGTGGGCGAGGAGAGGAGCTCCCAAGCCCCCCGACACTGAGAGAAGAGACCCGCAGAGGGAGGAACGACTGTCTAACATCGAAGCGGAGGCCTCCAGCTCCTGAGACTTGGGAGGCCACCACCCCCGGAGCGAGCGGCGAGCGAGCGATCTCCCCACCCTCCCTGGGCCCTGGCCGCGCGCTACCGCCCTGAGGGAATGGCATGGGCATGGCTATCCGCTTGACGCGGGTGCGCTTTTGATTTCGCTGCCGCATGACACCTCCCCCATGTGCCTCCGCTCGCTACCCGACCCCACCATGGCAAGAGCACGTCGCCTTCCTTGGCTTCCTTGTGGCGGCGCGGAAGGAGCATCTACTCTCAACCCTTTGGAATCGTAAGGCGCAAACTTGACCATGCCGATACGCGTTCATGAGAAAAACCACCATTGTGATCATGCATTTCAAACATGACATCTGTGCTACTCCAGGCTCTTATCCTCCTTCCTGCGTGAGCGGCGGCTCCATTCAGAATCGAAATACAAGTCAGCGTTGTTCAGAAAATAAACACCTTTGCATTATGAACGGAAACTGCTTATGCTTTGGGCATGGATGCCAGCTGGCAGTAATCATTACACACTGACAGGCACTGCAATACGATACACACGGTGCAATATGGTCGTACCGCCACCCTTGAAACATGAAACCACTGACTTCACAGCTTGTCTGTGTTAAAGTGCCGTCCATGCGCATCATACTTGCTATGCCCATTGCTACATCACGTTTGCTACTCTGCGCCCTGCTCGAGAAATTGGTGGCGATTTCACAGCATGTTACAACCAGCTTGCTAGTTACAGTGTATCACTATCGAGAGTTCTCTTCGTGCGCTGAGTCACAAGCACCCCAAAGAGAAGACACGCAAACACCAAATAGGATCAATAATACACCCAGCGCATAATCCGCGTAATGTTCATACGATTCAAGAGCCTGCAACGCTGACCGATCGCAATAGTCATGCGTGCCTACCTGTATGCATGGATCAAAAGGAAGAGCGGTGCGCAACACGGGGTCTGCCACCCCCAATACTGCAGACCCGAACCTCAGCCACTTTTCCCAAGCCCTAAGCGAATCATGCCTCAAGCTGTTAAGCCAAGCCGATGAGTAAGAATTGACACCAGAGCAGCAGGCGGTGACGCAACCAAGCTTGCTTAGAAGATGACGTAGCGCCTGGAATCAAGACACACTTCGCGCC